TCGTTTGAATCGAACCGGTCGGGTCTAAATCCGATTCAACAGATGGGTTTAACCAGGGATTTTCTTGGAGTGAGCAATGAGCATCACCCTCACCAAACAGGTCGTCGTCCGTTTTTGCCACAAGAACTCGCAAGATTTGCTCCATTGGGTTAATTATCTACTTTAATCAAATCCGGCTTTGCTACATAATTGGATTGGATCAAGATCGAAATGTAGGGGACAAGTTTCTGAGTTTAGGATTGGAAGTTTTTGTGAGGAGACAAGTCTCAGACTCGTACCCCCTTGTGAAGCGGTCGGACTGTGGGGACAAAGGTTGACAAGACATCATCATCATATCATATCAGTTTCCATTAAATGCTATGTACTTTTACTATGTTTATGATAATCGTTATCATCATATATATACCATTCACATGCACATGGATATGTATTTGCGACGTTGTCGTTTTCGTAAATGTAGTTTTCTTTACGTTGGGATATTCAAGAATTTGGGCGTATTTAAAAATTTCAGGCTTTTCCTAGCTTGTTTTTACTTGAGATTTTGTTTCTTATTGTTGCTGAACCAAATCTGAATGTATAGTGATGCATACGAACAGAATTTGCTTACGATGTATAAGATCTATTTCAATCCTAAACATGTACATGTTTTGAGCTTTAATTAATTCTACAAACAAATTAAAGTAATAAATCCAAAGATTACTCTTAATTTCTTAACTCGGATTTGTTGGCAATAATGTTCTCTATGACGACCCAAAATCGGTTTAAAAGTTTTCAAACAAAGGTAAACTCAATAAACAATATTTACATTTATATATAACTGTTTCTTTATAACTTCAAATTGCATTAGGTTATAATTTTATTAAGAAAACTATATAAAAGTGAACGACATATTGTTGAAATATGCCTTTCAATAGGTACTTGATCCAAACCCAAGTTCTCGAGATATGAGTCAATGTTCCTTTGGATTCTGTATAAACTAAAATATTTTAACTGATACTTGTATCTTCAGTAGACTGATAGCCTTGTCTTTATTTTGACTTATCTCTAACTCCACACGAGAGACATATTCATTATTTATTAGCTAGAATTATTTACCTAGAAAGTATGAAATATGTCGTTTTGCGGATCCATGCATTATTCCTTTTCATTGTCAAATTGTAATGTCATTTTTTTCACCCACCAAGTATAAGTGCAACTAATTATAGGTTTGAAATGTAGAGATTCGTGAAAACGCCTATGTCTATGTTGAGACGTTGAATATGTTATTTATAAGACTATTAAAATAACTGATATTTATTATTTAATCTACAGAAATTATTTTTTCTCTATAATGTAATTTTGTCTAGTTGACAACACAAAAATGTAGTATTGACTTTTGATGCTAGGATTAGACATTAGAGTCACAAAATAAAGTAATGTTATTTCAATATCAATAATGTAAGGTTAAAAAAAAAATCAATAATGCATTTTCCCCAAAATCATGCTAATTGTGGAAAAAATTAAATGAGATAGATTCGATTTACTTTTAATGGATTGCGAAACCAGAATTTCCATTTACCGGTTTAAGTTTGCTACTGATCCGGTTATTTACTTACACTAAACATTATAAGCCCATCAAATACATAATCTTAGGCCCACATTGTTCTCTTGCGGTTCTATAAACTCAGTAGGCCCAAGAATCCAGAAATCTTACGTGGCAGAGTTAGACCATCGTGTAAAATAGTTAGTCACACGTGTTCTATTCTCATTGGTAAGCGTTTGTGGAAATGGGACCCACCTATGACAATTTCCACGTGGACAAAACTCATTGGATAGAACAACGTGTTGTTACTAGTTAACACTTCAAAAACATGCTAATCAAAAAAATCGAAAGCTTCAAAATTCGATCCGAGGAAGAGACAATCCGAAACACACACAGATTCGATTGAGAGCTTGAATCAAAGA